TTAAATCATAATATGTCCTATTGTGAAGAACGATCATAACTTTATTGCTGTAAGATTTTGGGGGCCACAGCTTGGCCTGCGTTTGAGTAAGAGGGAGTTATTTGTAAAAATCGTAGGATTGCATGAGTTTGGCAACCTACTGTACCTTAGTAAAGTGAGTAAAACGGGGGAAAAGGTTTGATTTCGTCGTTCTACAGTGAGCAAAGCTTGAGAAATCCCAGTAAAACCCCGTCTGCTTGCTTTTCGTATTCACAGGTTCAGTTGGAAATCGGTTGCAGTGCCCTTGTCGAGAGCACGGACGGAAAATTGCACATTAAAATACTTCTCCCTCCGTCGCATAAGAGGTGAAGAGTTGAGGGCAAACATTAGAACAAATTCAATATTCCTGCTGTTTGGGCCACATTCCGCATAACATCAAACTACTCGTATAAATGGACTTCGGTTAATCGGGCCAACGATTAAAAGAGAGACACGGCTCGCGAGTGAAATCCATTTACACGGTCACCACTTCTGTTGCCGTGCCGTGCACTATAATTCAGATTACATCGAGACAAGGCTACAGAAGCCTGTGGTTTGGATAGAAAAGCAGGCAGTGTGTTCGCCCAAAGGTCACTTGTTTGGTTGATCAGGGCATACATTTGGCGTGGAAGCTCTAGAGAGATAAATAAGCATACCAGAGAAACGCCTGTGCTGATGATTATACATTAGCCGGCTACTGACAGCAGCTTGCGTGGGATAAGACGGTAGGAGGACGGACGTTTTTTGGGGTAGGAAAGTCAGCAGCTTCGGTGCCTATTGATAGCTTGGTGTTTGCAAGTTGGCATAAACTGACGACTGTCCCTGTGGTAGGACACTCGAACTATTCGACCACACACAGTCGATATTTGCATAATTTTCTCCCCCAAAAATTAAAACCAAAGGACAAAATATGCATCGTCAGCTGGTGAAGAAGTGAGCAAATTATCCTCATGTTGTGCCCACCCATTCGAAAATCTATCGGCCTCTGCATGGTGTGATATGCATACTGGATATGCGATGTTCGTTCGTTCGTTCGTCGTTCGAGTGGTAAACACGGAAGTT